ATCTATCTACCTATCATCTATTTATCTATCTTTATCATCTGTCTATCCTTTGTCTGTCTGTCTGTCTATTTCTATCTATCTATCTATCTATCTATCTATCTATCTATCATCTACTGTCTGTCTGTCTGTCTGTCTGTCTGTCTGTCTATCTATCTATCTATCTATCTATCTATCTATCTATCTATCTATCTATCATCTATCTCAAGTCCTTTTTCTCGGCAGAAGCCCCACTAAGCCTTGGCAGGGGAGTGGCAAATCTCAGGCTCGATGCCTCACCTTCGTCAGCCTCTGGATGTTCTTTTTGTAGAGCGAGGATAGGCACTGCTTCACCAGGCCCATGTTGTTATCCCGGGTAAAGGTCTCGCTGTGCTTGTTCACCAGACTCCGCAGCTCAGAGGGCTTATTGGTTGCATACACTTGCGCCAATTCATGATACGCGTTGCTAAGTGGCTGCAGTGGGAAAAGAGGACAAGGTTGTGGGAACAGAAGGGCGGGCACTTCAACCTCCCATGGTCCAGAAAAGACTGGCCCACCTGATCCCTATACTGGTTGTTAGGTTTCCTGCTTGAGTAGGCAACCTCCGGTCCCTTCCAGTTCTGTTATTCTGTTACAGGTTAGGCTTTCTCTCTTCCCCAAAACGTTTGCAAAGTACATTTTTTCCAGGCTGCTGCCCTGAACCCATCAAAACATTTCTACTACTCCTTCAATCAAGCTCACTTTACTATAGCTAGGAAATAAAATCTCCCCATGCCCGGGCCTCCCACCTCTTGGTTCAAACAGGATCTCTGGGGCCTCACCTTAACAAATCTACCTATTATTTGGGAAGTGTATTTCGGCAGCTGCTGCACTTTGCCAAGGAGTATCAAGGAGACTAGGATATACTTTTTGTACGATTCCAACATGATATGGCTGACAGCCATGGCAGGGGTGGTTATAGCCTGAAAAATAAAGGAAGGAAGGTTAGAGGCGGCCAGCAGAAAGACAGAAGATGGACCTTGGGGTCCTGGGGATCCAGGTTATGCCCTGGGGTGATGCAACTTTGTCCTAACATTATGGAAATTCAACTAAGCCTATTTCGAAGCAATTCTCCAAGGACAAAAGAAAGGCTGTAGCCTTACTTAACACCTGGTCAACAAAGGAAGTCTTTTTCTAGACAGGTAGCTATTTAGTCTCTTACAGAAAGGAAAATCAAAGAGCCCAACAACATCTTTAAAAGACTAACATTCGTTTTCGGCGTCACTTTTAACGGATCACAATGCAAAAAACCCCAATAACCCAGCTTGGTGCAGTGGTTCAGATACTGGCCCAGAAACCAGGAGACGGTGAGTTCTAGTCCCACCTTAGGCATGGAAGCTGGCAGGGTGACTTTAGCCCAGTCCTTGTCTCTCAGGCCAACATAGGGTTGTTATTGTGGGGAAAACAGGAAGAGTATTAGGTATGTTCACTGCCTTGAGTTGACCAGATATTTTGTAAAAACTGGGATAAAAATCTAACAATTTTATCTCTGCTGCAAGGAGTCACAGCTTCCAGTAATAGAGACTTTGCTGGTTTTTAACTGGGCTTTCGTGCCCTCAAGAAATTTTTCGACACCAAAGAGGAAGGAAAACAGTTACCTGCTCGTAAAAATAGAGTGCTCTTTCGAAATTTTTGAGCCCAGTGTATATCATTCCACCATAGTAGTAGTAACACAGAAAGTGCTTGGCATCGTAGGCCCCATTTTCTTTACAAATATCCATCATGTCCACATCTAGATACGGGAGGGCGGGTTTAAAGCATTTGGCTAATAAACAGAGCTAAAATGAAACAGACCAGGGTTAAGACATTAAAAAAAAAAACCAGTCGCAAGTCTTATTTGCTTCGGAGCAAGAATGTGAATCGTCAATCAAGGCAAAATACAGGTGGCGGGGGTGTGTGAAATGATATTCAGGGTAGCTGTGTCTCTGGGCTGGTGCATCAATTAGAACCACAGAGACATTCAGACTGTCACGTTGGACTTTTAAAGGCAGATAAAGCATGTACTTTCCAGGAAGTAATGCCATCAAAACTCCACTCCCTTTTCACAGGAGTCGCAGGGTGGGTGGCTGGCCTCTGGACTGTTTTTATCCCCCGGGCGTATGCCCCTGCTGTCGGCTGCTTCACGCCATCCTTGTGCAAAGGGTCCACACAAATTAGTTCAGACCTTTGTCTGATGACATGTGTGAAACCCAACCCTCAGAGAGATGGAAGCTACGTAGGGGAATTCGAAGCCAGCCTGATCACATCGGGGAAATTCAGCTTGGGAAGAGCTAAATTTAAAAAAGACTGCAGGCAACAAAAGGGCAGGGAATTGCCACGACGGGCAGCGAATGTCCCATTTAGTCTTAGTTCAGTTCTGCATCATGTTATTAGGACGGCCTATTCTGCTAGTAAGAGGACTTCATTTCCCACCTGACTTTAGGATCCTCACCTGGCAGAGATCAGCATGTATTGAGGTCAGTTGGTTGGTATTCATCTGCATTTTGTCTATAGCTTGCCTGAGAATGCTGATTCCGCGCAGGGGCTGTTGGAGAGCAAGCAAAAGAGTCAATTTCTACATGCATGCTAAAAAGAGATTTGTACATATTTGGAACAGCTTCACCTGTCCTGATGTCAGGAAGCTATACCCCCTGCCTCAAAGATGTAAAAATATCTCACCAACTTGGCAAGTTAGGACAAACGTTTATTTACTGTGATTTCTATACTTTATTTACACGTCACTGTTCTACTCCAGTGAGTATTGTTCAGCATTAGCACACCAGGATCAGCAGCCTGAGAATTAAAGGACTGCGCTGCTCAACTTCCTTACCTGCTTCCGTTCCACAAGGGCATTTGTTAACTGATGGCACAGGCCAGCAACTAGAGAGAAGGAAAAAAGAAGGAACTGAGACTGTGCTAACTAGCGATTTGAGAACATGGAAAAATCACACATCAGTGACTTTCATTTGTCCACAGGTAGATCCTTTTCAGTCAGACATTAAAGTCAGTGATACTCCTAGGAGGAGGTTAAGGCTTCAAGCTGTTAAGGTTTGTTAAATTACATTTGGAGCTTGCCTGTCTATGAAAATAGACAATAAGTAGAGCTGTAGATATACCATGTTTGGAATGTAGCAAAAAAAAGGTGATTCTTTTTTGGCCTATCAAAACCCCATCTCTCAGCCTTTAAGGCGATCTTTTATTGATTGAAAGGACAGGTCGCACAGTACGATCCTATGTGGTCCAGCTTCAACTCCTTTATTAAAAATAGACTTGTAGTGATTTTCATTAAAGTCCTTTCTTTTTATTGGCATTGTTATTTTTTCCTACCATTTTTCCTGTAATTTGTTCCTAATTATGTTAGTGTTATTTAGTATCCATGCCTACTCACAGACACTAAAGATAAAGCTACTATAGATATAATCTTATTCGGATTGATTAAATGATGTCGGCAGCCTCTATATTTTTTTTAGCACAATGTTCATTCGTAACTCTTAGCAAACCAATGCAGATTTTAGGCAAAAGTTCACAGGATGGCAGAAGCCACTTACAAGTGTCGGTGGCATATCGGATGTGCTCCCCATTGCAAGTGCTGATGAAAAGCTGGACCTGCGAGAATAACGTTTCGAAATCAGGGACGCTGGGCATAGAAAACTTCACAAACCTACAAAGGAAGACAAAGCACACAATGCAAGCCATCTCTTTCTGGGAACCCTGCCAGAGCTCCTTAAACCCCCGCGAAGGGCACGTTAAGTGGGTCAGATGGCCGGGTTGCGGGTTTTTAGTGTACTTGCTGTATGCAGCCACTCTTATGACTTGAATGAACATCTACAGCTAGTTAATAAATGTGGGAGAAAGAAATACAGGTAGTCTTTGTGTTAGGAGTGCAGAACAGGAGCTTATGGGCCCTTCCAGCTATCATAAAATGCACAACCTCCTCACTATGCTCACAGAGCCACATTCCTGCTGTTTGGCAACCAGTTTATGACCAGTTTTAAATTGTGACTGCGATGCTTTTTTGCCAGTTTTGAGTGTATTTTTGCTAGTTTCCAGCAGAACAAAAACAAAAGCCACCCAACTGGAAGAATGTGCCATTTGCATAGTGACTGTGAGGTTTGCTGAACAACCGTGAAAATGTCAATCTCGGATCCAGACACATGGCTGCCTTGACATATGACCACACTGACTTACAAATGGACTTCTGATCCCAGTTGTGGTGCTTAGTGGAGGGAGGATCTGCAAAGCTTACTTTTCAATTTTAAAAAATGGAATTATATGAAGCAGAAGGTTCACAGAAAAGAAGCATCGTGTTTGTCTCTCTATTCAAGTCTGAAGGAGGAGCTTCCAATAAACGAAGGTCACTTACAAAACAGCCAACACGCCCAGGGAGTGTTCCTGGACATCGAGTGCCCCGAGCACGGTATCCAAATGGGAGAGGTTTTTCGCTAGCAGTTCTCCACTTTTGTTGATCAGCTCGCAAAGCTGAGTCATTTGCCCTGAGAAAGGCGAAAAGGTTGGAAAGTGAGGGGGAGAAAGAGGATCCATCACTCTCTGCCCTATGAATAATAACCCGCTCTACAAACAGCAAATATCACAAGAACAGCCGTCTATGTCATAAAAGCAAAGCAGTAAAAAATCAAGCCAATACTATAATTAAAAAATATACAGCAGGGAGGGCATGTCTCAATTAATAAGCGCTCAAGAAACTAGAGGAAGGTGTCACATAATCAGCTCTACAAAACAAAACAACAAATTGTAGAAAAGGCGCTCTATTAATATTTTTATTCTACACTATTTCAGAAGGTTTTTATGGACCGAATTGTTTTCTAGACTCCCTTACCAACAGTTAATTTTCACATCACAATAATGCTAGGCTAGGAATAGATTAGAGGCCAGATTAATACCATGGACAGCACCCCAGCTGAAATCTGACCATTTCAATCCCTGAATGAAAACAGTTCAACCTAGGATAGAGTCTTGCACGTAAATCTCCTAAAATTTAAATTCCCCAAAACAACACACCCACACCTATGTAAATATACAATTTTCATAAATCTCTGCATATATGTAACAGTCATAAAACTGAAGATAAACTATTTGGAAAATAATTAAAACAATTCTTTGTGTTTCTACAAATAACATGAAATTAGAAAGCACCCAAGTCAGGGATTTTTAGAAGGATAGAATGAAGTTCAAAACGAGACAAAAATTTGCCACCGGACTGAAGCAACGAAAGGGAGTAGATTCTTCTGAGATTTTCCAGAGCAAAGTTAGGACCTTAAAACCAACTTCCAAGCTGAGAAATATTGCTTTTATAGACAAAGACTTTAACGAAAGAGAGCCAAAACCAGCAGCTTATAAACTGCGTCTCCCCAGGGAGGCTGAAACACCTCGCAAAAGTAGAAAACCAGGGGTCATAAAGCTACCTCATTGTTCTAAAGAACATGGATTTATTTCTTTTTCTTTAAGGATCTATTTACTTTATTGTCATTGAACCTCGTACATCGAAATTAAATACCATCTTCAGTGTACAATTTATGACTATGAAAATAAACATAAACACACATCCCTCACATTCCACACATTTAAAACCCTGATATTGCATTAATATTGCACCATACAGTAGAATTCAATAGTTATTGAATTGTTTTTTCTTCTTTTTCTTTAAGGGTTTATTTTTCTTTTATCGACTAAAGCTGTGGCTGCAAAGAAGACTTCCGTGGAAGACTTTCATGCTTTAAGATGTTCTTCCATGCCAGCCAGAGTTCGGCTCATTTTGAAAATAAAAAAAAAATTCAAACCAAAAGTCGAGCTAGTTAGAGAGGCAGAATCCAGAAGGAGCAAAAAGCAAAGAGCGATCCTTGGGGAGGGAGGGTTTAGAAGGGGAAAGGTGCGTGTCCCAGGTAGGTGGGGAGTGGGGCTGCCCCACAGAAGGCCACCCATTGACCTTCGAAAAGCTCAGCCAGGAGAATTGGGCTTTGGACAGGAGACCACCAGGCGATCCCAGAGGCCTGGGAAGGGAAAAGCCAAGCTGTGAACAGGCAGAGCGAGCCCCCCCCCCCCCCCCCCCCCCGATTCCCCCGCCAGCCCGCCCCTTCCCCCACCCAGATTCCCAGCCAGCCCGGGAGCGCCAGGTTGGGGAAGGGCTGCTTTGCTCCCTCCCTTGCCCGCGAGGGGTTTCCAAGCCAAGAGGCGGGGCCCCGAAGCCCCGCCCCTCCTGCAGACAGACAGACAGACGCGGCAGCCAACGGACACCTCTGGGAGGCGGGCTCCCTTCCCGGCTCCCCTTTCTCGGAGGCCGCTCGGGGCTGGAGGGCGGCAGCGGCCTCCACGTGCGCGCCCGGCCTTGCGTCTCACCTTGGGCCGAGAGCTGCCGGACGCTGTTGACGAACTGCTCCAGGGCGGACGCCATGGCGGCGCGGGGGAGGGAAAGGCCCGGCCGGGTCAGCCGCGGAGGAGCCGCCTCTACCTCCTGCTCTTCCAGACGCAGCGGGAGCGACCTCGGCGCCGCGCAGGGCCAATCGGGGGCCGCGCTTTTGGAGCGTCACTTCCGGCGCGCGGCGCGGGAGCCCGGCTGGGGGCGTTGCCATGGGGATCGCCTCCCACCCGGAAGTGGGCGAACCGAGAGGGCTGCTTCCTGCTCTGGGGGGGGGAGTTCGCGCACGCGCAGTGGCTCCACAACAGTGCCCGTGGCCCCGCCCTTTTTGCTGAAAAGGGGGAGGGGAGCTTCATGCAGACTGCAAATTGTGAAAATGATATCTATTATCTACATATAATTAAACATGATGTCATTATTGCACTATATACTATATTATCTACATATAATTAAACAAAATATCATTATTGCACTATATACTATACATATTTATTAAAGATAGTGCAAAACACATTTAATAATGATGTGCACAGCATGTTTAATATATATATATATATATTAAACATGTGCACATCATTATTAAATAAATGTGTTTTGCACTATCTTTAATAAATATATATATAGTATATAGTGCAATTTTATATATATATATATTTGTTTTCTGAGGTTCTCGCGGGTATTTGTATGTGGATCTTTGGTTATTCGGGTTTTCTCCCACATAAGATTGGATCATACGCGGGAGAAAACCCGAATAGATAAATAATCCAAAATGTATATTAGATTCTTAATCTTGCTCCATAGAAAATGGGCTTTTGGCTCTTTCACTAATCCAGGGACCAAAAAAAAAAAAAAAAGATATTTGTTCTCTAGGCATTTGTGACACTGGACAACCAGTGGTCTGGAATGGTATAGGTAGGGTTTCCTGGCTGAGCAGGAGGTTGGGTTAGAAGACCTCCAAGGACCCTTCCAACTCCAGTGTTCTGTTATTCTGGCTTTGCTTTATTGCCTGTCTTTTATAACGCAGCAGCGTTTAATGTGACGAGGTCTCCGTTTTATCAGGTGGGTCTTCTCCGTCTAAACTTATGCCATTTAAAAATAGAGGAGGAAGCCTCAACCTTCTTTGATTCCTGCCATGGAAGAAACGCTCCTTCACCCCAGCAGGATTCAGGCACCCCAGCAGGTGTCTGAGACTTGCCAGGGACCTGGAACCTGCCTAGGTGGGGGACCTCAGCCGGAAGAATGGAAGGGATCCATCTTCCAGGAAGACCATCGAAGACCAGAAGTCGAAGTTCAAAGTTCAAACCTTTATTGTCAATGCACAATATGTGTACATGAGCCTAATATACATATACATATACATACATGCATAAATAAATACATACATACATACATACATACATACATACACATTGGTATATACACTGGCACTGTAAGTCTATCACATTAAGCCTGATTGCGGTGTTATGTTGTGTTTAGTAATCTGACAGCCAACAGGGTTTAGTAGTCAGACTCAGGAAAGACCGCCCAATGTCCTAATTAGTGCCCAGACGCTCCAATTCCTGGACTTCCATTGGCCTGGCACCCTCCTTGACTAGAGAGCACAATCTGAATCCGGCTCCTGTCAGAATCACTTCTGGGGTCTTCAGGGCAGTAGCCTTTCAGGTTTAGAATTCAGAGGGAGGTTTGCTGGACCAGAAAGTCCAGTTGCCTCTTGAAAAAGCACCTTTGGGAAAACCCTGAGATGTTTGGCTCAAAAGAAGTCTGCCCAATTGGTTCTATAAATTGTCCTCCTTTAGTGACCGCAATGGGGAGACCACCAGCTGGTCATTTTAAGAAGCTTAAGTGAAATTTAGAGGATGCTTGAAGTCTCCCTTAGGAAGAGAGAAGCAGCCCCCACCCCCCTTTCTGGCTTTATTTCCTGGGAAACCCACGCAGGACCCTGCCCCTTCCACCCCACCCCTGTCCTGGTTCGCCTTCCTCTCCCCTGCCGCTTCCCTGAGCCCCGCAACGGTTCCGCATCGTCAGTTCTGCACCCGGGGAAAGGAGCGGAGAGGCCGGAGCGAGGTCCGGTTTGGCCCGGAAAGAGGAGCCCCCGGCACGTTACCCAGCCACCCCCGCCGCCCTTTTGCAGAGCGACGGCAAGGAGAAGCGGACCCCGCCGGGCCGGTAGCTGGAGGGAAGGGGCTGGAGGAGCTGGGCTGAACCGGAGCAGCTCCCGCGGCTCGCTGGGACGCTTTGGCGCTGGCGAGCAACGTCCCTTGCTTGTTTGCTTTTCTCTCTTTCCCTTCGCTTTCTTTTCCTTTCCTTGGACCCTCCCTCTTTCTCTCTCCTGCCCTTCCTTCCTTCTTTCTAATCCCTCCTTCCTCCCTCCCTCCTTTCTCCCTTCCTCTCTTTCCTTCCTTCTTTCCTTCCTCCCTCCCTCCCTCGTTCTTTCTTTCCTTCCTTCCTTCTTTCCATTCTTTCCCCTCCAGCCTCCAGCCCATCCACGAGCCCCGAGTTCCGCAGTGGCCGCCGGGCGCTTTCCTCCCTCCCTCCCTCCCTCTGTGACCTGCGGATCTTGCGGCAAAGGCCGGGGGCGGGGGGGGGAGCGAAGGTGGCCGGAGAGGCCGGGTCCTGCCCTGAAGGGGGTCAGGACCTCCCCCCTCCTCCATCTCCCCGCCCAGAGACGCCCCTACCCGGCCATGATGTGCCGGGGCACCCGCAGCCTCCTCCGGCACCCGCAGCGGGTCCTGCGCGCCTGGGCGCCTCTGCTGGGCGCGGGCATCGGCCGGGCGCATTCGGGGCGCTCGGCTGCTGCTCCTCCTTCCCGGCCGCTGCGGGTGCTGGTGGACATGGACGGGGTGCTGGCCGACTTCGAGGGGGGGTTCTTGGAGAAGTACCGCGCCCGGTACCCGGACCTGCCCTACATCGCGCTGGACGAGCGGCGGGGCTTCTGGGTCTCGGAGCAATACGGGAAGCTCCAGCCTGGACTGAGCGTGAGTCCCGACCTCACACACAACACACACACACCGATGACCTTCGGGGGAAACGTCCGGAGGGCGACCGGGGAAGCAGAGTAAACAAGGTGGGGCTGACCGGCCGCTGCTCCTTTGCTCCCCGGCCGTCGGGCGCTCCAAGGATTTCAGCACCTTTTCTGCATGCCCAAAACCTCCCCGGCAGTCTCAGTTTGCTGCTGGGGAGGGAGGGGATTAAGGTTTGCTGGCCGCTGGGCCCCCAGCCAAAGGCTCCCCAATCCATTTCAGGCTCAGGAGCTCTGTACCCGCTTCAGGGACCGTCCACTGCACTGTTTAGCTTTACTCCGGGGTGTAGAGGCCTTCCTTATTCTTCAGAATAGGATAGAGCTGGAAGGGACCTTGGGGGTCTTCCAGTCCAGCCCCTTGCTGAAGCAGGAGAACCTATACATTTCAGACAAACACCTGTCCCTTCTCTTCTTAAAAGCCTCCAGTGTTGGAGCACCCACAACTTCTGATGGCCAGCCAGAACGGCTGGTTAATTGGTTAACTGTCCTCACTGTTAGGAAGCTTCTCCTTAATTTGAGGTTGCTTCTCTCCCATCCTTTGTTTCTGGTCCTGATCTCCAGTTCTAAGTATTAGAAGCTGAGTATTTACTGGCCGGATGCCCTTCCTGTTGCCAGTGCGGAGTTTTGTTCAGCTGATATATTCTCAGTGTGCCCAGAGAGAGAAATATCTGCCTCTGCCTAGGATCGAACTCAAAGCCTCCTGATTGTGAGGTGAGAGCTCCACCTCGAGGCCACCACACCGCTCTCATTAAGCGAATCACTGCACTGATGAAGTTAATAACATGGTTGTTAAGCGAATCTGCTTTATCTGTTGGCCTGGCTTGTCAGGAGGTCACCAAAAGGGGGAATCACACGGCAACTGTCATAGATGTGGGACAGTTGCCAAGAGTCTGGATTTTGATCCCGAGACCCTGGGGAGGTAGCAGGGGTTGTAAGTGGGGAAAATGGTCCCTAAGTGACTTTGTTCAGTGAAGTTGTACCTTGGAATGGTCACTAAATGAACGGTTGTAAGTTGAGGACTACCTGTATCATTTCTAGATCGTCTCCTGGATTCCACATGTTTGGAGACACGTCGCTGGTCTTTGGTTGCCTTCATTAGGGGACTGGAGGCTCAAACATACAAAGAACGATTACAGGAACTGGGCTTGGCTAGTCTAGGGAAGAGAAGGACCAGGGGAGACAGGAGAGCAGCCTTCCAATATTTGAGGGGCTGCCCCAGGGAGGAGGAGGAAGGGGTCAAGCTATTCTCCAAAGCACCTGAAGACCAGACAAGGAATAATAGATGGAAACTGAACAAGGAGAGATTCAACCTAGAAATAAGGAGGAATTTTCTGACAGTGAGAATAATCAACCCCTGGAACAGAAACTGCCTTCAGAAGTTGTGGGAGCTTCATCCCTGGAAGCTTTCACGAAGCCTGCCATCTGTCAGAAATTATGCAGGGTCTTCTGCTTGGGTGAGGGGTTGGACTAGATGACCTACAAGGTCCCTTCCAACTCTGATTATCTGTTATCTGTTATGTGCTGTTGTTTGCACCTGTGTTTTCTCTCTCTCTCTCTCTCTCTCTCTCCCCGCTCCTCTCACTTTACAGGAAAAGGCTATCAGTATTTGGGAATCCAAGAACTTTTTCATGGAGCTCAACCCTCTGCCAGGGGCTGTGGAAGCTCTGAAGGAGATGGCAGAATTAGAAGCGTAAGTATCAGCCCATAAAATGGGAACAGCAGCAAATCCTCCAGGTGTTTCCTACCCTGTGCTTCTCTAGATGAATCATAGAACGTAGAATCCTAGAAGGGACCTCGGAGGCCTTCAACCCCATTACTCAAGGCAGGAGACTTCAGATCATCCCGGTCAAATGGTTGTCCAGTTATACTTTTGAAAACCTCCAGTTTAAAAATAAATAAATCCTGTTTTCAAAACTGAACCTCATTGGTTTTTCTGGTGAATGGGCTGGGAGAGTAGATCCTGTAGAAGGAAAGCGGCAGGGTAGGGAGCGGGTGAGACATCCCACCCCTTTCTGGAGAAGTTCCAGAACTTGAGGGAGAAATGGCCCAAGCATTCCAGTTTGTAGAAGACCTAGGAAGCGGAAAACTCTTTGTCAACCAAATCCATCCATCACAAATCAGTTCCTTTTTGTTTCCATGCATAGAAGGTTCCGTTGGAGAGTCAGAACCCAGTTGTGGAAAAATAACTGAGAAATATGAGTGGTTCTCGTTCTCTCTTTTTATGGTAGGACTGAAGTCTTCATATGCACGAGTCCCATCAAGAAGTATCGCTACTGCCCGTATGAAAAGGTAAAGCCTGCTCAACAAATCTTGAGTTACTCACTGGTGAAATCAGGAGAACCAGGATTTTATACGAAGGCACGCTAAACAGTGCCGGCGTTAAAGGAATTGGTCTGATTTAACCTCACCTTCCAGCTCTCTTCCTTCTCGCAGCTGGCTTGTTGGCGGGAACCCTTTGCCCCCATGTTTTCTTTATTTTAATTTATTTGCGTATTAAATTGATACGCTGTTTGTCTCGGCCTAAAAACGAGTCTGGGAAGCTTTCGTTTTATCGCTGTCCCCATCCTACAGACAAAAGTTTTCTCCAGCCACGTGTTTTCACCTTCATGTCCTCTGCTGCTTTCCAGTTCGCTTGGATAGAGAAGCATTTCGGACACGAATTTTTGGAGCACGTGATTCTCACCCGGGATAAGACCATCGTCTCTGGACATGTACTGATTGATGACAGGCCTGATATCTTAGGTAAGGCGGGGAGGGCTGGTGCTGGGGAAGGCAACCCTTGGAGAGGCCAAAAGGTGGACCAATTTGCACATCTTCACGCGCCATTTTTCCTTTCTCTCCCAGGAGTGGAACGGAGTCCCACCTGGGAGCACGTGCTTTTCACCGCCTGCCACAACAAGCATCTGCAGCTCCCACCTTCTTGCCACCGGTTGCACTCGTGGGCTGATGATTGGAAGGCCATCTTGGAAAGCAAGCGAACTTGCTGAAGCTTGGAGAGTTCTCAGCAAGGCCAGCAAAGAGCGGGTCTGGTTGCCTGTGGCTATTTTCTCGAGTTTCTGGCCAGAAGAAGAAGAAGAAGAAGGTACCTGTTGCCTTCCTTGGGTCTGGGCTGGCATGTCAGAAGGAAGAGTTGTAGCCTCAAATGGCAGCCGGTTTTGACAGTTAAAGGAAGTCCTTGAGTGTCTACAGGAGTGGTGTTGGCCAAGTGTTCCAACTATGTTGAAGGCCTCTCATTGAGTAGATCAACTCAGGATGGTTTCCCATCCCTGTTTAAGTTTCTGTGGGGACTTCTTCGTTCAAGATGATGGCCATCCTCATCTTTGGCCTCCAATGGATGGACACTGAGCTTCTGGAGCTCCAATGACCCTTGTTGCGATGGACGTGCAAGAAATGTTCCAGAGCATAAGGAGGTCGGTGGCCTCCAGACCTCATGTGCCCAGCCACAATCTCACAGGCATGTGTGAGTTTGCTGCATGGATTCACCTGAAGGATCTCTTGATTTCAGAGCTTTCTAAAATCCAGGGAGCATCGGGGGTCAAAAAATCAAGATGGATCTGCAACTGGGAAGTCAAATCCACGTGTAATGTTGCACATTCTATAGACAAGTCTTCAATGCCCTGTTGTAGCTTCCGTCCTGACTTTTTAATCATGTCCCAGAAAAACTTCAACTGTTCTGTGGGGCAAAAAGGCCATGGATGAGTCCAAGTGGCCCCTAATGTCTCACAAACGGTAACAGAAGAGTTACACAAGTAAGGTCTACGTTTCTCGTTCTGGAGGTCTTCACACGTATCCCTTCCGTTCCTGGAGACTGTGCTGAGCTGGTCGTTCCAGGGGATATCTGAATGTTTTCCGAGAGTAAACAGGGTGTTGTTCCTAAGGATTTATTTGTGGACAGTATGGGAAGCAACCTCTGAAGTTCTACAGAATATTGCATCTCTCTGTGGGGTCCTTTGAGCTTGGTGGTTTTCTTGGAGACGTTTCATGACCAAACTAGGGGGAATCATCAGTGTTAGAAGGGAGTGGGGAAAACTTTTAGCACTGATGATGTTTCCTAGTTGGGTCACAAAACAACTGCAAGAAAACCATCAAGCTCAGAGAACACCAAAGACCTCACACTTCGTCTCCAAACTACAACCATTCTCTCCTATCTCTGAAATGAGATACTTTGCACCTCCCTAACTTCTACCTGGATGGATTCCACTCTCCATCCTTCAGGTAGAGATTGACATTGGGGCAACACGAATCTGTTCATATCTTCATGGGGAACCTTCACATCTTGCCTAGAAGATTCTAACCTTGGTCTGCTAGTTTTCCTTTCTCTGCGCTAAGTTACATCAGCTTCAAACCTCAAAGGGGACAGTCCCAAGACAGGTTACTCCATCCACCTTTTAATCTGCAGTTAGTAAGTTCTCACTTGGTCTGGGAAGAAGCTTGTCCCAACATTTGCCGTTCTCCAAATAGCTCTCGTCAGTGTTAGAGTGTTATTGTGTGTGAGAAACACTTCAGAATCCTTTCAGAAAACTTCAGGCAGAGCCATTTTTTTCACAGACTCAAACTGGTCGTCGTGAACTTGGTTGTGGGGTTTTTCTGAAATGTTCAGATGACTCCATTTGACACCTCACCTGACAGACCAGGATGTGATATTAATGCATGGAGATTCCAGGAACGAGGAATCTCCTCAGGCACGCACAACATTCGGTCTATTTATTTAACCTGACTGTCTCCAGCTCCGCAGCTCTGCGTACTTTTATTGTGCAAATACAACCAACAATTCCTGCTTGCAAAGAATCCTGTCGTGTTTTGTCATGTGCCATACCTGTGGGTGGTGTGTTGCAATGTAGCCGGATCAGCCATGTCTGATTCAATTCTTCACTTTTCTCTAAGTCAAGGATCTCTCCTGGGGATTTGACTGGCATGCACCTCATTGGGGTGGCTTGCTGGTTCCTTTTACAGATTAACAGAGTTCAAAGGGACCTTGGAGGTCATCTAGCCCAACCCCCTGCCCGAGCAGGAAAGCCTACATCGATTTTGACAGATGACAGTCCGGTCTCTTCTTGAAAGCCTCCAGTGATGGAGCTCCCACAACTTCTGAAGGCAACTTCTGTTCCATTGGTTGACTGTTCTCACTGTCAGAAAAAAATTCTCCTTATTTCCAGGTTGAATCTCTCCTTGTTCAGTTTCCATCCATTCTTCCTTGTCTGGCCTTCAGGTGCTTTGGAAAATAGCTTGACTCCCATCTCCTCTCTGTGGCAGCCCCTCGAATATTGGAATCCTGTCTCCGCTGGTCCTTCTCTTCCCTAGACTAGCCAGGCCCAGTTCCTGCAACTGTTCTTCATATGTTTGAGCCTCCAGTCCCCTAATCATCCTGGTTGCTATTCTCTGCACTCTTTCTAGAACCTCAGGGGTTTTTTTTATAGTGTGGTGACCAAAACTGGGTGTAGTACTCTAGGTGTGGCCTTACTAAGGCTTTATTTATAGGGTGGTGGTGGTAGCTCCCTTCATCTTGATTCTACCCCTCTGTTAATGCAATTTAGGATTTTATTTCCAGCTTATTTTTTTCTCCCCTATCTACCCCAGGTTCTGAACTTTCCAATCGGTATATGCTGTCAACGTTGAACATGCACAGTGTGCTAAATTCCCGAATCTGCCACCAGAGAGCAATCTAGGCCAAGGGTTGGTTCTCTTTTATTTTATTTTATTTGGGGGGATGGGCTAGACCAAATCGCAGCAAAGTCCAATTCCAAGGCGGCAGAAACCTGAAACCACTTTTTCAAAAATCCAGTTTTTCACCTAAAGCTTTTGTGCAAACATTGATGGGGGGGAGGGGGGGGCCTCAGCCCACGCCTCCAGAGAGACATGCTGTCCAAAAGTTGAACAAGCTCCCTTGATGGGGGAGTGTAGCTAACAGGGAAACAGCCCGGTTATCTAGCCTTCTTTTCAGCTGTTTTTTTTTGGATTTCAGGAATTAAAGACAAACATTGGGGTTTTAAAAGTGAAGAAGGTGAGGAAGGGGGTGTTGGGGGGATGGGAAATAAAAGAAAAGAAAGAAAAAGAAAGAAAGAGAAAGAAAAAGAAAGAAAGAAAGAAAGAAAGAAAGAAAGAAAGAAAGAAAGAAAGAAAGAAAAAAGAAAGAAAGAAAAGAAAGGGAGAGGAAGGGGGAGGGAGATAGAGAGAGGGATGGAGGGAAGGAAGGAAAAGAAAGAAGGAAGGGAGAGAGAAAGAAAAGAGGAAGGAAGGAAGGAAGGAAGGAAGGAAGGAAGGAAGGAAAGGAGGACGAAAGAAGCAGCACATTTTGCAAGTCATACATTTGAGTCAAAAGAATCCATATTTGTCAGTCGCGGCTCATGAAAGCATCTGCCTCTGAATAAAGCAGGTTGGACTAGAAGACCTCCAAGGTCCCTTCCAACACCCTTACTCTATATCCTAATTTTGAGCTTCTGTAGATTCACATCACCCCCCTTCTACAGTCAGTGGGGAATTCAAAAAGAAGATGGAAGGAAATGCTTTCTATTCCAGAGACAGGGACTGGTTTAACGTCCTGCTTTACCGCCTTGCCTTATCCACCTATCACCTCCGCTGGATGTACAGAGCACCGGCGGCTTTCGCCCCTAAGCTGGCGCCTGAATGGCACCTAGACCCGATTCCATCCAGCCCTTCCTCGAATCCAGTTAATTTTCTGAAAGGGATCCACTTTCGGGACCCCAAAGAGAAGGCAAAGCTCCTCTCAGGCTCGCTCGGCAGAAAGGTTTGGCCTGACCCAGAGGGTTGGATCGGAGCCGATCAGACGCATCGCTCTGGCACGCCGAAGTGCGTCAGGTCACAGAGTGTGCCTTTGTGCCTAGCTTCCCTTGCACAACCTTGGGGACAGCTTAGCCCACACTGTGACGTTGGCAAACATTTCTGGAGAGGAGAGTGGGGGGGAAAAGAATCTTGCTGGAAAGGAAACCCACAAGGTGTGTAGCATTCGGGGCACCGCGGCTTTCCTTTCCCCACACTGGATGGTGACGCACCCCTTCCAAACACATCAGTCTTTTTTTTTTATTTTATTTTCCCCACCTCAAAAGGACACAAATCCCCTTTTGTTGTTCTTGTTTTTGACTCTTGCTCTCTGACATCACGGGGAGTTTGCTCAGCCAACCTCAAGGCTGGAATTTTTTAGCATTCAGACGATGGGCAAAGTTGGAGGACAGGACTGGGGGTGTGTGGGGGGGTGGAATGCATCAAGAAAAACCCACTTAAAATTCACCTATGTTTGTTTTCTTCCTTTTCCTTTTTAAAAAAAAACTCAAGTGATTTATGCAATTTATGCAATTCTGAGACCTGCTTTATCTTCCCAGCTTTGGGCAAAGATATAATTCTTCCTTCAGGCCATTCTTCTTCTACCGTGCGTGGCTCTTTTTAAGCACCTGCATTCTACCAGCAGAATGTGGTTTGTCTATGTTGTGATCATCCCCTTCGGGGCTCCCGATCCAGATATTTATGGGTTTTACGGCTTTTACGGGTTTGAAGTGGGTTTTGCAATCTGCGGGGAGAATTTGGGCTATTTGAGCAAAAACCACTATAATCGATACAGCCAGGGGCTGCAGCCTTCTTTCGAGCAGGGAAAATAAGCTTGCAAAGAAGATTTTAGGAAAGAAGAAGCGGGAAAAAAAGTGATTTTTAAACAGTTTTGCACGGCCGGATTTCCCAGCACATTGCTTTCCTTCTCTCTTCCACTTTTCTTCTCTTAAAAGGTTAGAGAGAGCATACGTATATTTAGACAAATTCAGATCGTTCTTGACTTATGAATAGTGACTTATTTACAGTTGGAAAATGGGACTTAAGACCCAGTTTTGAAGTTCCACATCTACCCCCCTTCCCCCCGCCCCCATGGTCCTGCGACCCCATCTGGGCACATGGCAGCCAGCCTGCATTTACAGACACAAGACTGTGATTTACCAGATTTTTGACAGAAACTGATGTTCGTTTGTCATTTCCTGGAGAAAAACAATGGGTTTCACTTAATGACCACTGCCAAAAAGGTCATAAAATGAGCTCTAGTCACATATTGACCGTCTTTATGACCCTCTCAACTTA